TTTTTTGCTACAGTGGTTTGATATGCTGCAAAAACTACCATCCCATTATTGTAGAAAATATACAAAAAAGCTTTATCTTGAAGAAAGGTGGAAAAATAAAACTGATTTGTATGAAACGTTCAAAGCTTTTGCAGCCGAACAGAATAAATCTGCTGTCAGTAGAACTTTTTTCTGCCAGGTATTTCATCAGTTAAATTTGAGTATTTTTTCGCCTAAAAAAGACCAGTGCAATAAATGTGTAGGTCATAAGTCAGGAAATGTGTCCCAAAAAGAATGGGAACAACACATTCTGGATAAAGACAGAGCCAGAATCGAAAAAGACTCTGACAAGTCTCGAGCCCTTCGAAAGGATATCATTTGTCTGTGCATGGACTTGCAGGCGGTGAAAGTTTCACCACTTACGAATGCAAGTGCCATGTACTACAAAACTAAATTGTGCTCACATAATTTTACAGTCTGTAACTTGAGTACAAACTGGCCTCCATAGATTTGTCTCAGGTATGAGTTATAAATATTTTTCATCAAGTAACATTTTTTTGTTAGTCAATGAGAACTGGAATAATTTTTTAGGACAAACAGCTCATATTTTTTCTGTTCTTTTTTTCCTATATTTTAGTTCAAAACCTGTTAGAGATCTCTCCTAAATTGTTACAGGCTCAAGAAATTAATTTCAAATTCAGAGTGTTGCATTAGAAAACTGGTTTTCTCAGTTGATGTGAAGTGTGCTCTATTATAATTAATAATTAACATTTTCTGTATTTTAAAATCCAGGAGGACAGGTCAAGAGTTGAAATATTTGCCGAGTATTGTGCTAAGAAGCGAGAACCTATTTGCGGTCAGTTTTTGAACTTGTTAAATGGATCTGATGGATTCATTGTGAATATGTCTGCCAGAATAATTGCCAAGATTGCCTGTTGGAACCCATCTGCCAATTTACTTGACAGCTCTGATCTCACTTTTACCTGAATCGGTTGAATGGACAGTTAAAATTGAGTGTAAGTTAAATGGATCAATGATTTTCTGCTATTACTTCTAATTAATTCAGTAATGCATCTGTTGTCCTCAGAATTCTGTTTCTGCAGGTGCAAAAAGTTCTAAAGCATCTTGCCTTTGCCACATGATCCGACGGTCTCTACTTCTTAGCAAAATTTTTGATGAGAAAAGAGAGAGAAAAAAAAAGACATCACTTTTTTAAAATTGCATCACTCGATGCTGATTGTTGATGATTGTTTATTTCCTGTGATTGCTAATTTCCTACGATATAACATAAAATAAATAAGGAGCTAGGTGGCACAATGGTGTGGGGGAGCGCAGGTTGTTCTTCTGGAAAACTGATATTTTCCATACAGCATACCATAAGGCACTACTGCACCAAATTTCATGACAGTATTTCAAGATTTGAGCAAGTTACAGGATTTTTTTTTTTTTGCAAGGTTACGATTCTGTGACAATAATAATCTAGGTCATGACTGTTATCTGTCAAAATTTCTGTACAGATTCTCCACATAGCTGAAAATTGGCTGGTCTTTTAAGGTTTTTTCAATGCACGACCCTATTATAGCTGAGGAAGAGACCCTTCTCACAAGCAGCGATGGTGAAAGCGAATGTAAGGCTGAAGATTCATGATGTCTCGATTGATGAACTCAGTGGAGCTGGCCCTTCTTAATTTTGTCCCCTTTACTCCTAGACATGTACTGAGGGGGTTTATAAACTTTTTCAACATAAATATGCTTTTAAAAAAAATGATAATCTTTTAGTAGGTCCCTTTCCTTGATAGCCTGTAGTTCTCTTGAAAAACGACTTCTGTAGCGCTTTTGTAAATCTCATTTTAAATATGTCAAATACTGTATTTCAGTAAATGCAATGGTACCAACCTCTAAATGAGGGTTTGATCTATCATTTTTGTCAAACCCATGATCTCAAAATCTTTAGTATATAGCTGGTAATCATTAGAGTACCTGTACAGCAAGAGTATAGACAGGTGTGAAACTCAGAAAATCAAATCCATCAGGCCTTCACCGATGCCTGTGCAAACAAGGTTAGGGCCCAAAAGGGTAGCCAACCTATGAATTACATACATCCAGAACGATTTATTATTATAATTGTCTCAACCTGTTGTTTGCAAAGAACGTATTTGACATAGTTTTTTCATAAATTTACTAATTTTTGAAGAACGCACATTTATAAACATTCTTTGCCATCTTGATTTGAATTGCAATCTGAAGATTGGCAGTGAAATTTTGTGTGTTAAAGAGCTGGCTACCCGTTTGGGCCCTAAACCCTCCATGAAGCAAGCTGTCCATACTCTCAGTATACAGGCACTCTAGGAATCATGTCTTAAAATATTCAACCTTCGTTTTCTCAAACCGCTATTTTCTGACTCATGCCGTTTTTCCACCTAAATCCTCAAATGTGATGATCTGGAAAGTCCGACTTAATTTTCAAAGTAAATTCTTCAAGCAAAAGAAAATGAGTGAATCTGCTGGAAAAGTCACCTTTTAATATTTGAACTTGCATTAAAAAATCCCATCTCTTCCTGAAACAGATAGAATTTTTCTTACATTTCTTAATCCACACCCTTCTCATTTAAGTATGCCCTAGGTACTATCAGTGGGCACTTTACAGTGGGCCTCAGTTCAATCTTGATCTGACGTCTTCAGGATGCGTTTACTGATTTCATCAAATTTGTTATCTTTTAGGGAGAGGACTTCTTTTTGTCGGAAGATGCTTGCAAGTAGTTCTTCGTCACAATGAATATCGTTTGGCTTTCATCAAAGTTGGAGGGCCTTCAACATTGTTGAAAGTCCTTGCCTCCGGACAAGTAAATTTCCAAATTCAGTACCAACTTATGTTCTGTCTTCGGTTACTGCCTTTCAACCCTAAATTTGCTCAAAAAATGAACAAGTGAGTATGTACAAATAAGTCTAAAAGTGTTAATTGTCTGTTGAAGAAGAATTTTGTTTTTAAATTGTTGAAATACCAGGTCAGATAGCCTTATTATGCCATAAATGTTTTTAATTCCTCGCTAGGGACCGTCATGTAGGAAGTCCGGGTGACAATCGGCTCTGTCTATGAAAATAATAGGCTGTATAAAATTTGAGCCAATTTGAAGCTTTGTTAGATGATGCTCAAAGGGATTAAAACCATGGGCAAAATTACATTGGTTTGAATGGGCGGAAAAACGCCTGATCTGCGAAAATGCATTTCTTGGATCTAAAATGCGCTGAAATGAAGAAAACCTGTCCAGCTCTTAGAGAGGCATCGAGGGGCCCATTGGAAACGAGAAAATCACACTTTTGATCCATGAGTGGGGACAGCGGGGTCATGACGTAGCTGGTTTTGAGGCGC